TCTTCGGTAACTGGGTTTTCTTCACTATCTTTCATTGGTTTCAACTTAGATGATCTCTTCCCGGATAGTAACCTGGTTATTTGATATAGTGTTATCAGGTCTCTCCTACCAGCAACCTGTTCTGCTTCACTTGCGAGTGTGTGGTAGAAGTGTCTCTTGTCTTTCCGCGCACTTCTCTTCACTACTTTGTCCAGTATAGTGTTTTATATGTTGTGTGCAGTTCCTCTTTTCGTTGTTCATCCTTGCACTGCACTGCTTCACCATCTTCCTCTCCCTATCAGCTTCCATGTGTCCGTGGGAATCTATTCCTTGTCTTATTTATTCTTCCTTCTTAACATGGTTATACAGTTTTCCTTCCACGTGTCAGGTACTAAGCTATATATATATTGGTCGCTGAACTAGCAGACTCATCGTAATGGTAGGAAAGACGTATCTACAATCTTGAGGGAGGTGATGTTCTCTATACCATTTAAATCCGCATCAACTACTGCTATAGCCAGAGAGAGAGGAAGGGGAGGAGACGTTAATGCTAAGCGGTCGGAGTCATGACTGACGGCTATTCGGATCACTTAGGACCAGAAAATATGAAAACAGCTAATCCTCAGAGATCAGTAATCGTATTTTCCATTTTTTTGCTTTTTCTGTTGTTTTTACATTTGTTTCCGTTAGTAATTAAGAGAATTTAGACTAGGAGTGTAGTAAATAACTGCGTGGAGGAGATTGTTGATAATTTCAATAAAAAGACTGGAAATCAGCTTCTTTCATGAATAAAAGCATTAATGGAGCATATCAGTATTCTGTTGGATTAGACATTCCAGTACACATACCGAGGTTTCAGCAGTCAGCTAACATCATTTATAGTTTTACAATGGGTGTAGCTCAGAGTTCAGTGTATAAAGCAACATGCAGTTGGTGAATTACTTCACTATTATGTAGAAGTACTTTCATTACAAAATTAACGATCAAGAATGCCTGTGTACAGAAAACTATAGTCGGTACTAAAAACAATCCATTGTATAGTTTATCGAAAAAAGCTAGTGAATAAAAGGGATGATAAAAATATTGAAACTCATCGGAGTGGAATCATTGAACAAGTGATTATGTAATATAAACAGTAGGGGATAATACTGATTGCATTCAACTGGAATGGATAAGTAACTAATTGAGCGTATACGTTGCTTCCAAGCGATATACTAGTAAATTAGAAGGAAGCTGAGTAATATTTTTTATGTATACATATCTTTACAAAAGAAATAACTGACCTATCATGTTTTGCGAATCATTATTTCATCTAATTAAATACAAATGAGCTGATTTGTTAGATTGTTTTATGATTGACTTTTCATTAAGCTTCAATATTGTGATTGATGGGAATTTTATTTACAGGGCAATTAAAACTAAATGTCATTAGATTGATTGGCTAGTGTTCTGCAGAACGGGTACTGCATTCCATAGTTTGATCAATATTCAGAAGACCTAGTTGATTTGACAGCCTGATGAGATATAGATAGTTATTAAAGTTGCGATAGACGCCTAAGCGTTTGGAAGTAACTGACTGACAATACACTGGAACTGTGATAGCCTTGTAATATATACTTTGATTATATCTGTCATTAACAGTTTGTTCAAATTTTAATGATTGTTCCTACAGATACCCTATTAGAGCTTGTGTTATTCCCCCCCCGCTCACTTATGTGAATTGTTACTAAGTGTGAGTATTCTTATTTCCAATCAGAATTCGATATAAGCTTGCTGATAGCCGTGATTTGTCATGATAACGTGTTCACAACAAGTGCGGTGGAAATAGACATCTGATAAATACCTTTGAAGACTTGAACATTGTAATCTGGTGTTTTACATAGTTAGTGTGTAATTTTGTTAGCTAATGAGATGTACTTTACAGAAGTAGCCTAACTGACCACATTTCATCATTTAAGGAAATCTTGAACAGTAGTACACAAGACTGTTCTATTCAAAATCATCACCTTAAATGATTTTATTTATTCCTACTATCCAGTCCTCATTGGTGACATGCTTCGGGATGAGATTTCCTGATATCCTAATGAGAAGTTGTGATCATTTTCACAAACCGACAATTTCTCAACGACGGCATTGTATGAAGGTCATGATTTATTGTGAACTGGTAGAAGCAGGAAAATGTGAACCACTGGACTCCGACCGATTGACTGAATAGTGGCATGCTTATTGTGAAATCCGAAGATCCTGGGTTCAATCCCCAGCCACGTCGTGGGTGTGTCTCATACTGGGACGAAACAGCTATCCAGTACTTTCAGGTTTTCATTGGTTCTCCAACTGACGTCAGCCCATGATGAGTGCCAACTTGAAATCAATAAGTAAATCCCAACAAACCTCCAAAATGAATTCTGAGTGTATTGTGGCATTATATGGTCTTGTACACGACCTTCATCGGTGGTTTGGTTATCTTATACATTATGATGTTGCATTTAGTAATTATTAAAAAGTTTTGGCGATATTTAGAGCTGGTTTTATGAAGGTTCTTGTACAGACGAGGATCAGATTATATTAGACTCCTTCAGATCTATAACCTTGTTCAACATAAAAACAAAGCGTTTAAGGTTTATGATGAATAGTTGATCACCGGACTCTTTTTTCTATATAAAATCAAGTAAATTTCTTGTTCAAATGAACAAAAAAAGAGGTTATAGTGAAGATAATTATCCAGTGCTCATTGGTGACTAACTTCGAGAAGTGATTCCTGAAGTTCCATTGAGGAGTTGTGACTGGTGGGGCAAACCTGGTGTCCATGAGGACAAATAACCGACGATGACATTGGGTGGTGATCTTGCTAAGTCGTGAACTGACAGAATTTGGAAATATGAACGACTGGATTCCGACGCAGTGGCTGAATGGTAACGTGATGGTGACGGAACCTTAAGGTCCTGGTTCGATCCCTAGGGGTGCGGGGTTATGGAGGTGTACTGCTGAGGAGTCCGATACTAGGAAGAAACAGCTGTCGAGTGCTCCCAGGTTTCCAATATTCCTCCAAGTGAAGTTGAACCATGATGAATACCAACTTGGATTATCTTTTCGACGACTCATTTTCACACCTGTACATTCATAGATACATCAGTGAAATGCTGGAATGTTCCAGATATGTGCCCGGTCAAAGGTTGATCGTAATGCATAGGTGTGTGTAAAGTATGAAATGGCATTACATAACATAAGACAAGATCCAAGTAGTTTTTATAAAATGCAGTGAACAGTAAGGACTTGTATCCGTTAAAAGTAAATAAATAAAGTGCAAACATGCCTAATTAAGGCCACGGTATAGGGAGTATTTATGCATTTTTCTTATGAATACTCAAGTGAGGTTTGGAGCTATGAATTGCCAAATCTTCAGCTTCATATAATGTCGAATCCTCATCCCCTTTTGGAATAGTTTTCTCGAATTTGTAGAGAACTCAGAATAAGGTTTCCACAACAGCCAGATATTCCTAGTCTACAAGATGTTCAAAGGTGGAGCTGGAGATGGTTTTGTACTTACCATTTAGTAACTATCTCCAGCTCCACAACTGAACATCTCTTAGACTCTAGACATCTGGCTCCTCTGGAAAGCTTATTCAAAATTCTCTACAAATTCAGACCAAAATGCTCAAAGAGGGTGAGGATTAGACACTTTTGCGGAGCTGAAGCTTTGGCAATTCACAGCTTCAAGTCTCAGTTATATATCTGAGAGAAATATGTACAATCTCTTTACTGTGGCCTTAATAAGATAACAAACCTTACTGTTCAATGAATTTTATGAAAACTATTGAGATCATGTCTTGTGTTATGTAATGCCACTTCATTCTTTAAATACACTTATCAATTAAGTTCAACCTTTGACCGAACACTTGTCTGGAACATTCTATTATTCTATCGAGATATTTACGAATGTACAGGTATGAAAATGAGTCGTCGAAACGATTATTACCTCTAGTTTGTTTCATACTGACCAAATGGAGATTTTTTGTAATTCAAATAAAATTTTTACTGTAAGCTGACACTTCATTAAGTTATGTAAATCTACTAATTAGAGTAGTAAGGAGGTTAAATCATACTTCACATATTGGTGAAGTAGAGTATACTAGTCAGTAGGTACTGATAGTACCCACTACAGAGAAAACTCTGGATATCATGGTGAACAAATTCATCGTGCATTTATGTGATGTTTTCGGTCAAATCTATAACAAAGAAGGGTTTTCACTTATTATATTCTATTGTCACTACCCTACAATGATTTTCCACTAAAGTTGGAAACTACAGATGAATAAACTTTGACCTCATGGTAATGGTTAGTGTACTAATTTCAAGATGTAAACTTGGCGGCCGGAGCTTTTCACCACAGAAAAGTGTTAAACTAAAACAAGACAGGTATTCAATCGTTTGTGGTTCATCACAGGTCTCTATATTTGATGTAGTCCTGTGATAACACTAATCAGTTTCCGACTGATCACATAATTTGGTTCGTATCCATTTATCAAAGAAATGAAAATTTATACCACGGCTGGGTTCGAGCCAGCGACCAATGGGTTTCCAACCCCATGGTCTATCAACTAAGCTACGGGGCTGACCAGATTTTTACTTCACTTCAATCACCAAGAGTTTTACCTGACTACCATATGAATTCTTTACGCGTTACTATCGCTCGATCATATTCACACTGTGCTCAGTCAGGACTTCTCATTTCAATCCAAATCGAATTGAATAAGAGAGGAAAAGCATCATATTGATTATCATTTTGACGATCTGAGATCGGTGTGGTTTGGCAGAATAGTGTTGATACTGAGTGGTGATTGAAGGTGAAATGGTTTGAAAGGCGGCCGGATTCGAACCAGCGACCACCGGGTCTTCGGTCTTCATGTTTTACCAGCTGTATTTGTAGGATTTTTTTATATCCACTTTCTTAATTGAACTGACAAGCTTGTGTTTTTATCTGGAAATGAATATATTGGTAATTGCCTTTTATCTTCTTTCAGGAATTGGTGAAATGGATCAAACTGCGTTTAGACAAACAATGCAAACGTTTATGGCATTGTGTCATTGTGCGTGGTCAATATTCATCATTCTATTCGTATCAGCCAGGCTATTCATTCTGTTTTCGTCTTGGACCTCGTGTCTATCTTTTGTTTAAAACACCAAATATATAGACACTTTTCTTTCCCCTCCCCCCCCCCTATTTCACCTTTTTTTCACATATCACACTCAATGATGAAATGGATGTGCATGCTTCCACTCTCGTCAATCCCAAAACAGGACAGTAACAATAAAAATGATAAACAATCAGATATGTGCAGACATATAAGAAGAAAAGGTACATTGAAGTCAGAATTTTACGTCATTGTATACTTGAAGACCAGTTGTAATTCTTCTTCAATTGGTTTCTTTCTTTCACATTACAACTATTTTTGTTGACTTAGGTTATTTGAGTTTTCTGTTAAGATTGCTTTTTGTTGTTGTTGTTGTCTCTGTTGCTGCTGCTACTGCTGTTGATCTTTTTCCATACAAAGGCTTAGGATCAGTGATTTATCATCTTTTGTGTAGAGGAGCAAGAAAAGGGATAAAGTTTCCAACTTTATTAGTATCAGCTGAAATAAGTTCGATTCCCCGAGGAGAAACAGAAGATTCTTCAAGGTTGTAGTAACACCTAAATGATATCAAGCAAGAAAAACGAAATGAAGTGAACTTTCTGGCGATTGGCTTCAGGTAGACAAATCAATATAGAATGTTGCGAAGTAGTAGATCCTTTGAAGTTGCCAGACTCCACAGTAGCAAACAAAGTAGACAGAAGTGTACATCATCATCATCATCATTATCAACATAGGACCAGGCATTACTGCGTAACGGTCCGAGTTGCCACACCTCATATCAGCACATCAAGTAAAAAGGTAGTGAGGTGAAGGATGAAGATAAGTGAATGCAGTCAAAAGAAATATAAAGTACGAGAAGAAAGGAAAGAGGAGTGACAAAATAGTGAGATTCGGTATAGCGTTGTTAAGATGAGGATAATGTGTGTATACATCTGCGCCACTGACTTCGGTTCTGAGCCATATCACCTAGGGTCTCCAACCACTGGTTCCTCTTGTCCCGTGGACCCCAACCACCTAGTCTGCATCGTCCTACATGGCTTAAACCAACAGTCAGAGACTTCATACATTGGTGCCATGTTTTAGTCTGGCCACCTCGGGCCTTTTTCCAGCCTGAACCACCTCAGCCAACATTGTGTGACAAGGCATACGTAGTACGTGTCCCAACCATCTCAGTCGATGAAGGTTCACAACCTCGTCGACTGACTTACCTCTTCTCCCTAAAACTCTACACCTAACTTCTGCATTACTCACATGGTGACACCACGGAATACGTCCTATACTACGAAGGCAACGGTGGTCAAACACCTGAACCCTTTTTGTATCTCCACTTTCAATGGCCATGTTTCACAGCCATACAGTAGAACAGAGCGGACTGCTGTGCAGTACACGCGACCCTTAATAGACAAACGAATATCACGGCGGCGCCATAGGTGGCGCAAATTGGCAAAAGCCAATCGAGCCTTTTGTATCCGTGCAGAAATCTCATCGGCAACTAACCCACCGGGTTGATCCTACTTCCCAGGTAAGTGAAGTGGTCAACACACTCAACCACTTCACTCTCTATTGTTAACCGCGGTACCGCTGAAGACCAGTCCTGGAGCAAAAATTTGCATTTGGGTGGTGAAAATCGCATCCCAAACATTCTCAAATTCCCACTCAAAGTGTTCAGAAGACTCTGCATCTTGTCAGCGTCTTCACCTAACAGGACTATGTCATCTGCATATTCTAGATCTAAGGAAAATTCACCTGTGATCCGGTCAACGTCTTTGTAATTAGGTGACGAGAGGGAAACCTCCATAAGAATATCTATGATAAAATTAAATAAGAATGGGGATAGTGGGCATCCTTGACGGACACCACTTGATGAGTATAGCTCCCTGGACAACTCACCATAGGCTCTAACATGCCCACAAGTGTTCGAGTAGAGAGCTTTCAATAAGGTGATGTACTTACTAGGCACGCCTTTCAGTGACAGACACTGCCATAAGACTTCTCGATCAACGGAGTCAAATGCCGCCTTCAGGTCGAGAAATACAGCTATTGTCGGGCGTCTGTAAGCATGCCTATGTTCCAGGACCTGGCGCAGTGTGAATATTTGGTCGATACATCCACGGCCAGGTCTAAAGCCTGCCTGGTTTTCTCGGGCTTGCTGTTCCCGAGCTCCACTCAGGCGTCGGAGAATTATAGAACTTAGGATCTTAGACACTATGTTTGTCAGGCTGATTCCTCTGTGGTTATCACAAGAGGACTTCTCGCCTTTCTTGAAGACTGGGATGATGAGTGACTTAGACCAGTCGGAGGGGATCGTATTTGATTCCCATATACTGGCTAACACTTCCGTTAGCCTGACTAAGAGAACTCTACCACCATTCTTGTATACCTCAGCAGGTAGTCCGTCTGGTCCTGCTGCCCTTCCCCGTTTCAGGCTACCTACCGCTTTCTCAACTTCTTCTAGTGTTGGGGGACCTGTCTCTATGTCCCATTCAGGGTCCGACTGGATAGCGGGCAGCGCAATGGTGGCTGGAGGCCAGTTAAACTGTTCCTCAAAGTGTTCTGCCCATCGTCCCAGTCGCCTTCCCTGCGAGTGAATCGCCGATCCGTCCTTCTCCGCTATAACCTCACTAACTGTTGTTGACCATTTCCCCCCAGTCTCCTTAATAAGTCTAAATAACTGTCTACTGTTACCGATCGCCGCTGCCTTTTCCATCTCTTTAGCCTTTGCTGCCCACCACTGTTCACGATCGTTGCGCAGACTTTTCGTCAGTTATTTTTAAGTTGCGCTCGCTCTTCATTGTACTCAGAGCCTGCAGGGATGCATTCACGTGCATCCATTAGTTTGGAAGAAGCTGCTGATATCCACTGGCTCTTTTTAGCCATTATCTTGGAGTCGGCTACAGTCTCCAGTGCTGCTTTTACAGTAGACTGAAGATGGCACCAAGCTTCTTCTGGATGAGTGACAGTCTTTTGTTCCGATAACTGCCTAGCCAACTTCTCACTGAACACGGCTTTGGTGTTTTCGTTGTCCAGCAGAACTCGTAGTGGTTTTGTTGCCAAATTTTTTCTACGTCCATTGAGACGCAGGCATATACGTGCTCGGACCAACGCATGATCGCTGTCCAAACACGTACTCCAGAAGGAGCGGCAGTCTTCCACCGATCCTCTCCAGCGATGACTAATAGCAATGTGGTCTATCTGTGTCCATCGCTGAGTCGAGCTCGGTGGACGCCAGGTCAGACAGTGCCTTTCTTTATGTCTGAAATTTGTGCTGGCTAAAAATAGGCGGTTATCTGAGCATAGTTGTAATAGGCGATCACCGTTATCTGTACGTTCAGCTGGGATTCCGAAAGTGCCACCTAAGTGCCTTTCTGCCTCACTCAGTCTACCCACCTGTGCGTTGAGGTCACCTGCAACAACCACTACGTCCGAACGTTTGGCTTTCGAGAGGAGGTTAGACAGTTTATGGTAGAACTCGTCCTTCACTTCATCCGAACTACAGTCAGTGGGTGCGTAAGCAGAGATTACAAAGAGACAACGGCGAGTCTCACTATTCCTTTTAGTTCTCACTGTGCCGTTCAGCCTCATAGCGCAGAGGCGACTATCAACTGGGATCCAGTCTAGTAGTGAGTTTTCTGCCCTGGTGCTTAATGCTATACCTACACCTGCAAGACCACGAGAGCTAGCTATCGAATCTCCAGAAACTCGAAGGGTGAATTTTGCAGATTCACCAGATTGGTCAGGAGAGGTCAGGTGAATAACCACACTTGGGTCCTGTATGCGTGTCTCACAAACACAGCACACATCCATGCCTCGAGTTGCTAGAGTCTTTGCCAACGAAGCCTGTTGGCCAATTTGACGGAGGGTGCGGACATTGAAGGCTCCAATATGTAATTTGGAGCGTGGTTTAAGGAGACCAGGGACACTGTTCTGTGGACTCAGATCGTTGTCGAAGGCTGCAGAGGTAGGAGAAATTGAAGATGATGCAGCATCATTAATTAAGAGACGTGAAGGAAGATTAGAAGGTAATGATGGAGGAGGAGGATAGCAGTCAGAAGAAACTTGGGTGCTGACAGAGTTGTGAGGGCGGTTGACACTTCCCGGCTGCCCACACCGTGGAAGGCTATTTCTTCTTAAGGTACCTGAAAGAGATTTGTGTGACCGCAGAGCCCATCGGACATCTGCTTGAGGCCTGTCACACCCAGCCTTTTGAGTATGATTATTTTGAATTTTTGTATTTTTGGGGCCGGATGGTCGAAAGGAAACGACAAGTGAACCAACACCGCCGGCCCGGCAGACCGTGGGGCGTGGTGGAGTGTGTTATTTTTGGGGCCGACCTTTTCTAACCCCCCCTTCCACTGAGAAGGCAGCATCAGCATGGCACTGCTGGTCATCCAAGGGAAACACCTTACTGCTGTCACACCCCATCCAGCTAGCAGCAGTACGACTTCGCCCTCAGACCCCCATCATAGTGTAGCAATTTACACTATAACGGTAACTGCTTTTCGTCTAACCACTACCCAACAGACCTTTCTGGTATGGTAGGACCTCGAGGGAACAAGCGTTCCACCAGCATAGCTCGTTGGGTCATTGTGATATGCAAGCCCGACCACCACGTCAAGGTAGCAGCTATCGGTCGGGACAGAAGTGTACAAGAGGAAAGAGAATGAATAGGTGAACATGAGTAAAAATTTAATGGACTTCAGGATGAAATTTTGATTAAATACAGTTGAATCATTGGGGAAATACATTATTAAAATGAAATATATTTGTGAAATCCTAATGGGTTAGAGAAATTAATTCCTGACGTTTCGCACGCTATCTCGTAGAAGTTGCTTCTTTAGAGAACGAAATCTATACAAGTCATCGAATGTTTAAATGAGAAGTGGTGACAAATTAGATCACGTTGTTCACAGATGATAATAATGGGGGAATAAGTATTATTGTTATCAGTTATTAGTCTGTAAGTTCAAAGGTGAAGATGGGAATGTTTGTTCACATGTGGATGGGTGAGAGAGAGAGAGAAATGCTATAGATGACCAACTCGGCTTGTTTGTATGGATTTACTTTTCTTATGACTACTATGTGTAACTTGTTATTTCAGATATACCGTCCAAGTTGGTTGGATAGTTACGTCTTTCTTTCTGTTGAGTGCGTTAGGATTCAACATAATGTGAAATCCCTCAGGGATCTGCGATTCCTCGTAATTTGAATTTAATATTGTCAATATCAATTTTGTGACTATAAAAGATGTCATGAAGAGTGATTACCGACTTGATTTATTAATTCTCTAGTTCTATAGGATTATTTGGCGGTTGTTTTGTGTAACTTGTATGTTCCCTAAGACACATGAAGATCCCACGGGATGATTCAATAATATATGCATCACAATTGACACAGCTTAATTTGTAGACATAGATCTGATTGAAGTTAAACAGGAT